ATTCTGCTGTGAGTGCTGGTGATTTGCCCTCTGCATGTCTAATCAGCAGTCTGCTTGCTGTGAGAACACTCACAGAGAAAGTTGCTGCAGAGTCTGCAGCAGACATAGATGACTTGATAGTTTTCATATATAATTTAATCAAGAAGATCTGATAAGAGCAGCAGTCATTATTTTGATCAATTCATCTGAAGTCTTATATATATTCAGTAAATTAAGTTCTTTGATCAGTTCAAGCATATCAGATGACTGACTCATTGTCTCTAATTCTTCTTCAGAAGTCATTCAGACACTCAGTGAGAATAAGAGATGTGATCAGAGATAGATTCAACTTCAACTCTTTTCATAGAAGTCTCTTCATCATCACAGAGTCAGAGATTGAGACAGCTCACAGCAAGTTAATCTTTCACAAGATATACAGTGTTAATAACAGCTTATTCAACTTCTCAAAGAAGAAACACAGTTCTTGAGCTTTCATTCAGACTTTCTTCTCAGATAGCTGAAATTCTCATCTCAGCTTGCTGATTATAATGAGAAGAGAAGTACTCATATTCTTTCTCATTTCTGTAGACAGATTATTGTGTCATTCTAATATCTGTCTCTTTAAGTATAATGAAAAGACTCAGAGTACTGCATCTTCTCTCTTCTGCATGATGATAAACTCTAGATAACTGATGAATATTATTACATCTGCTTTCACTGAATTGAACAGCATAACATTGCTCACTCTCAGTCACATCAGATGTTCTCATTCATCATCTTCAGTGTAGTGAATCACATCATCAATTCATTATGAGAATGAACAGAATCTATTGTCTAGCAGAAAGTCATCATGATCACAGATGAGACAGATCTCTCTCTTCAAGAGTACTGCAGACACTTACTCTCTGCAGACTCAATTTTCTTCTGTGTCATAGATAAAGCATGAAATGTCTGTCTCTCATGTAAAATTGAATCTATTTCTTATCATGTTTGAGCAGTAAGTTCTGCTCTCAAACACATCTCATTCAGCATCACACAGCTCTCTTGGAATTGCAGATGTCTGCAGAGCTCTAGAGAGTGATTTGAAGTCTTTATTAAATAAGACATTCAGTCATCAGAAGAATTCAGTGAGAGAATCATCATCTTCAACTTGAGTCAGTTATTTCTGCTACTGTTGATTTTCATGCTACTGCTCTTATCTCTGAGCAGCAAGTACTGCTTTCTCTGTGTAAAAGTTATTTCATATCTCTGTCAGTCAGCTTCTTCTATCTGTCAAATGCTGGAAATTATTCTGAAGCTTGTTGACATGCTCATTAATAAGAGTGATATACTTATTCAGCTGATTCTGCTGCTGATTGAGTCAGTGCTCACACTTATCTAGCTTACTTTCTCACTGAGTCAGCTGAAACTTCAGTTGCTTTAACTTCTTAATTATATCTAATACAGTGACTTCACTGAAAGAGGTATGACTCTGATTATTAAACTTAACATAGCTTGAAGCTATTGATTCTCTTTCTTTCATATGCTTTGTGACCTCTGTACAGAAAGTCTGTAGCCAAGAATTAATAGTATTCTTTCATTTTATAACAGAAACTGAGTCAAGAGTCATTTTAACATTGTTATAACACCTGATGAACACTTCTATAAGAATGTTCTCTGTCTTAATACAGTTATATAATATGACTTAGTTCTTGACACTATCATATCATTCATTTGCATTCTGTCAGACCTTCATGATCATGACAGTGTGTTTCTTCACTGCTGTCTGTAGATAGATGTGCTCAGTATCAGATTTCTGAGCAGGTTCATAGAAAGCTCACTTCTCAGCAGACTCATTCAGCTCAGTGAAGCAGAGCAGCTGATGAGAGCTGCTTCTAGTGAGATGTTCATCCTGCTTCATTGCAGTGTGTAACAGATGTGTATAGAGTGAGTCTATTACAACTGAACTGATTATCAGCTGCAGTGATGAAAAAAGATAGAGTAGTCAATCAGACTAATCATCAGTTGACTGAACTTTGTTATCTATAACTCAGATTAATCATCAGTGTTATATCTTCTTAAAGATAGAAAGAATGTAGAGAAATCAACTAGATCAATCATCAGTTAACTGAACTTCATTATTCACAACTCAGATCAATTATCAGTGTTACATCTTTTGAAGATGAAGTGAAATCTAAGAGAATCAAGAATCTTGTTCTTAATAAAATATGCTATCAAATTGCAGCATACATCATCTATAGTGTATGCCAATTATATATCATACATGTAAAAAGATAAATCTTGTCTTATTCTTCAAGATGAAGATGGGCGGACGCCTCTATATATATATATATACATGCTTGTTTGTTTATTGTGATTGACTTTTACAGAAGAAAGAGGTAGAAGCCTTAGAAAGGAAGAGGCAGAAGCCTCAGAAAGAGGCAGAAGCCTCAGAAAGAAAGAGATAAAAGTCTCAGAAAGAGGCAGAAGCCTCAGAAAGAAAGAGGTGAAAGTCTCAGAAAGTAGCAAGAGTGAATGTCACAAGAATCAAGATTATTCTCTTAAGAGAATAAAAACAGCTTATCAGACAGCTGTCTCAAATCAACAGCATAATAATAAGTATAAATATTATCTTGAAGATTTATTCTGAACTAGTGAATTTAATAACAGCTACAGATCTTCATCTGTAAATCTTCAAGTGTGTGATGAAATTCCTGCATACACTGTCAATTATCAGAATTAACAGCTGAATCTGTAAGATAAGTAGAACTCTGAGAGTTCATCAGAGAGTCTGAGATAATTACAGCTTATAACTGATTATGTTTTTAAAGAATTATAAGAGCTTCTATATTTAATGTATTAATTGAGCTTTCAGATTATATAGAGTACTGAGATGTTAAGAAGCTACTAACTCTTCTATTGAGTTAATTAATGAATGAATTTACAGAGCTCTGAGAAACAGAGTTTTGAGAAGTTGAGAATAAGAAAAATAATGTAAAAGATGTCTGCAGCAGAAGTATACCTGTAAAAGTGAAATGAAATTGACTTAAAAATGAGTTAAATAATGATATAGATGATTGATGAAAGACTGAAGAGAGATCTGCAGAATCAGAAGATGAATTAATTATCAAAGATAACAGTCACAGTTATTTTCTTAATTAAGTTAAGAATAAAGTTAATGAGAAATATTCTCTATAATATCTGATAACATAGTGAGCTCTTTGAATGACAGTTTTCTTTTTACAGACTGCTGTTAATAAAGATATATCAGAACTATGAATCTTATAGTAATAAAACTTAATCTCAGATAATATGTCTATTTCAATAGACTATTCACAGACTTAAGAGACTGCTGTTAATTGTATGAAGTATTAACATGTCTGAGATAACAGAGAAAGTTCAGGCTTATTTATCACAGAATCTGTAGCTGTAGAAGAATCTAGTTTCACTACACACATCTATTTACAGTTCTACACAGTGTAAAGAGATAATCAGTGATAGAAAAGATATAATGAGAGAAGATTACAATATCTGAGTTCTCTGAGTGCAGTATTGAAGGCAGACAGCTGTAGAAGTAGTAAAACACTGTAAAGAAATGAATTAATTAAGAGACTGATTTCACAAGCAGTGAACACAGGCTTTTAATACATTATTTATTCTTGAGAATCTATAAAAGATGATTGATCAGATGCATTATCTATTCAAGAATCTGTACAGAGTAGATAGTTAATGAGATATATAATCTATTATTCAAGAATCTGTACAGAGTAGATAGTTAATAAGATATATAATCTATTATTCAAGAATCTGTACAGAGTAGATAATATAGTTGATGATATAATTAATGAGATAAAAGATGAACACATTGTGAGTGTGTAGAAGAAGTCATAGTGCAATGTCATGAAATTACACTTCACTTAATTCTGCACTAATCAGTGGGCTGTATTCATGCCAAGAACCTCAAAAGGGAAATTCTCCACTTTTAATAATCAGAGTTTTCATCATATATTTACTTCGCTTCGCTCCGCAAATAACTACAGTAGCAGGTATTTATTACTATTTTCAGACAGGCACAGGATCAGAGGACTCAAATGAAATGCTTGATAGAAAGATCGCACTTAAGAATTCATATCACCATTGAAGTATGCACTGTGCTGTGTGCAGTCCCTGTTAGTTAGTAGGGACAGAGAAGTGAATCTATCAGAGAGTGATGATGAATCTGTCAAATGATAACATTCATTCATGTACATGTACCTAGTGAGTTTGATAAGGCAGATGAGGTACATGAAACCAACCGCAGAATATACTGAAGGTAGTGAATGTGGAAGGTGCTCTCCACCACCACCTGGGCATGTGTCATTCTCGATGTAGTGTGGAAGCATCCGCAGTACTCCGTACCTGGGATTGGGAAATTATTTAAGAGCCGCATTGAAATCATATAAACCCCCCCCCCCCCCCCCCCCTTTTCTCTTCCCCTCCCCTTCTGGCTTTTTCCCCTTTTTCCCATTTCGCCCCCGAATTCCTCCCTTTCTCTTGGTGCTTCCTTTTTTTTTTCCCCATTTCCCCCTTGGCCCGAGGGCCCTCCCCTTTAATCCCCCAAACCCCCAAATGTCGGGGGGAATGAAAACCATATCTCCCAAAAATGGGCATTTTTAGGACATCCACCAACTACAAGAAAGAAGCTGTATTTCCGTGAAAGGGGAGCTACCTATGGCTGTACTGTACGGAGTACATCCGACTAAACCGCAGATCAGCACTCTCTAATATCTATATCACATAAGAGGGAATGTGTAAATTACGAAGGAATGAGAAGGAAAGATATAAGTTGCACTGTACTCTTTACCTAGGTAGTATTTAAAAAGGCTGGAGATCTAGTGCTTGGCAGATCAGGTCGGGTTTCACCGAAACGCAACGGAAAGGATCAGAACTCCCAGTTGTTGGGAAGAAGCTATTTAATAAATACCATTGGCTGGAAATCCGGGGGAAGTCATATAAATATTTAGTCGTAGCTTCCGTCGTGGATTGTCGTCCAAGCTTGGGCTGTTATTATTTAGCTTTGCATAAAACCATCTGATCTCCCCACTGGCGCGTTCCGGGAGGGGGGTGGACCAAGGGTTACACCTGGGCATCGCGTGTGAGTCTCTTGGTCAGCTCTCTCCACACTTTTTCGACGCAAAATCAACCCTGGAATCCTGGTGTGGAGTGGATGGGAAGTAACTTGGAGTCCTGAGTAAATACATGGCTGGACATTTCTGGCGCGTGAAAGGCCGAACTGGGGTTTACATGTCCTTGAATGCAATAAGAACAAGCAGCCCACGCATTTCTACAAGCCCAGCTTAAACAAGTTGCCTATCACGTCACCTATCTCGTTGCAATATCGAGTACCTCTGACTAGCTCGTGCATGCTCGGCAGCTTGCAAGCATGAAAATCCTTCCCCAGACAGCTGCGGTGCTTGCTGCCCTCGCGGGCAACACTGGGTCTAACCCTCAGGATGATCCCGCATCGCTCGCGGAAGCTTGCCCTGACTTCCTCGAGTACTCTCAGGTTAAACAGTGAGCGCCCGTTTACTGAACTTCGTCGTTCCTTAAGAGATAAGAAAACTGTGCGCACGTTCGAATGGTTTTTTACTGATCCATGGATGATTCTCTTTATGCAGTGGCCCGTACTCCGAAGGCCCTCTCAAGCTCTCCTTCCAACGGCCTGCTGAGCCATGTCGAACCTTCTCATCACCGCTCGTTGAAAAGGTCATCGAGGATGTGACATCCCGCATGGTCGACAAGGACCTTGCCCAACTCTTTCGGAATGCATTCCCCAATACCGTGGATACCACTGTCCGATGGCATGTGTCCGGGAAGGAGCGGCGATCCAAAAAATCGAAACAACATCCGCAAGATGAAGCCTGGCAGGGGCCGCAGTCCTTCATTGTCACAGGCGATATCAATGCGGAATGGCTGCGCGACTCGACAAACCAACTTTCGCCGTATCAAGCCCTCGCGAATAAAGATCCCAAAATCGAGGCCCTTATCTTGGGCGCCATCAACACCCAGGTTGAATTCGTCCTTCAATCTCCCTACTGCAATGCGTTCCAGCCGCCCCCTCCAAGTGGCCTCGCTCCCATCCCCCCAACCCAGGAAGACACCGTTCACCCCGCCTATGAAGAATCCGTTGTCTTCGAATGCAAATACGAGCTCGATTCCCTAGCCAATTTCCTCGCGCTAGGAAACAAGTTCTACGCCGAAACCAAATCCACAGACTTTGTCTCTGATAGATGGTACCAGGCCGTGCATACTGTCCTTCAAGTTATCCAGGAACAATCCGAACCTACTTTTGACGAACAGGGCCAGTACTTCCGCAACGAATACACATTCACGCGCATGACCAACGTAGGAACCGAAACCTTGAATCTGGGCGGCATTGGGAACCCCCTAAACAACGCCACGGGCCTTGTCCGCAGCGCCTTCCGCCCCAGTGATGACGCCAGTACCTTCGGCTTCCTCATCCCCGCCAACGCCCAGATGGCGGTCGAGCTGAAGCGGACGGCGAAAACCATCAAAGCCGCCGGCGGGCCTCACAACCTCATCAAGAAGCTGGAGGATAGAGCAAACATTATCGAGCAGGGTATCCGCGAGCATGGGGTTGTGTTGCACAAGAAGTTTGGGGAGGTATACGCGTTTGAGGTTGATGGGTATGGCTCGCGTTTACTCATGGACGACGCCAATCTCCCCTCCCTCCTCGCTTTGCCTCTTCTCGGCTTCGTCGACAAGCACGATAAAATCTACCAGAACACGCGCAAGATGATATTGTCCAAGGCAGGAAATCCGTACTATCTGACTGGCTCGGCGTTCCATGGCATCGGTGGCCCTCACAGTAAGCTTATGATTTCTCGAGACTTTGGACATCTCCCTCTTCACTTTTTTCGGAGATTTCTTCTGTTGAAAAATATATCTAAATCTAAATCTAAATCTAATCCTTCCCAGTCGGCGTTGAAAACGCATGGCCCATGTCCGTCCTCGTCCGCGCCCACACATCCGACGACGACGATGAAATTCTCGAATCTATCAACATGGTCCGCGACGCGAGTCTGCTCGGCCTCATCCACGAGAGCGTCAACGTCAACAATGTCGCCGATTACACGCGTAGCTGGTTCGCGTGGGCGAACAGTGTGTTTGCCCAAACTATTCTAGACCTTGCGGTAAGGAAACCGCATCTTATCTTCGAGAAGGGGGCCGCGCCGTATATAGTTGGGGAGTGAGATGAAATGGATGGTTGGGGGGGGGGTGCAAGATAATTTTGCAGTTTTTACTGTTGGGAATTTTGTAATTAGATATAGTTTTATTTATGATATAACTAGTTATATCACCTACACTTTTGTTTCTTCTTTGGTTAGCTAGTAAGTGATATAAGAGACTTCTGTTTACATTTTTATGGCCCAAATATGCAATTTTCCTTACTGGTGAAAAATAAATAAATACAATAAATAAATAACTCTTGAATTCTGATAATCGTTGAACAAAAGGGAATAAGTAGAAATCATTTAACTGGCTCCTGGGAGGAGCATGTAGTGAGCCAAAAATATTTTGATGGCTGAGAATGCACGGACCACCTGGGCCTCTCCGCAACAAAGCAGTGATATTAGGGAAAAAATAAACCCTAAAAAACATCAGTGCAAACATTCTGCACTCCTTTCTACTCTGCAGTCGCAGAACACCACACGAAAATAATCATGAAGGTCCGAAAAAGGAACGAATATTTGGATATAGAATCCAGTGGTGGGGAAGGGAGTGACGGCGGGTATGATTCTGAAGCTGCGCTGGAAGCTAAAGGCAAGGGGAAAGGGAAGGGGAAGGTGACTGGACGAGCGACGAAAAGGCGGAAGCTGTCTCTATCTGCATCAGAATCTGCGTTAGCGGATGAGGGTGGGGTTGGTATCGTTAACGGCCGGGGTTCTAAGGGCGGGCGGGATGCCGGGGTTCTTTCTGCGGAAGATGAGGAGGATAGGGATGAGGACGAAGTTATTGATAATGCGGATACCGATGACGAAGAAGAGAACGGTGATGGAGAAAAAGATGAAGGAAGCAGGGGGGAGGAGGAGGAGGAGGAGGAGGGGGGATACCAAGAATACGATTCGCAATCAGATCAGAAACCCACCTCAACGACATCCTCCACCGCCCCCACCACGAAGTCCAAGCCTCTTAAACCCAAGGAGACCCGCAAGAAAAACAAAACCGGCGTCATCTACTTCTCCTCCCTCCCCCCCTACCTCAAACCCTCCGCTCTCAAATCCCTCCTAACCCAACGCGGCTTCAGCCCCATCACAAAAATCTTCCTCTCCCCCTACGTCCCACCCAACGCCTCCTCGTCCACCACCACCGGCAAAAGAGCAAGCAGCAACCGCCGCCGCACATACACAGACGGCTGGGTCGAATTTGCCTCCAAGCGCACCGCGAAGATATGCGCCGAGACCCTCAATGCGACCATCGTCGGCGGCAAGAAGGGCGGCTGGTACCATGACGACGTGTGGAACATTAAATATCTGAGGGGGTTTAAGTGGGCGGATTTGATGGAGCAGGTGCAGCGGGAGAGGGCGGAGAGGGAGGCGAGGAGGCGGATTGAGGATGCGCGGGCGAGGAGGGAGGAGAAGGCGTTTTTGGCCGGGGTGGAGAGGGGGAAGGTTGTTGAGGGGATTCGGAGGAAGAGGGCGGAGAAGGCGAAGGGGAAGGGGAAGGAGGTGGTGGAAGGAGAAAAGGCTGCGGGTGGGAATGTAGATGGGGTTGGGGCTGGGGAGGAGAAGGGTTTTAAGGCCAAGGCTGGTTTGGATGTTCGGAGGGTGTTTAGGCAGAACGAGGTGCTGGGTAGTGGGAAGGCGAGGGATAGGGGGGAGAAGGCATTGGATGCGGATGCGAAGAGGGTGTTGGGGAAGATCTTCTAAGGGTGGTCATTCTCTCTTATGCTTATAGATATTATTTATACACTCGAGGACAAGATTCGTTTGCGTCTACATCAGTTAACCCTTTATCCAAATAAAGAAACTGCCACAGTTCCGTGATTCTTGAATACTTTATATATATATATTTTTTTAAATCACATCTACCCTCATAGTAACGCCAATGGCCCCATCATAAATGCAAAATATTAGTCATGGCTATAAAGAAAAGCAGAACAGGCAAAACCTGTCTTAACCGTTCACGTTCAATTCCTCAAAATCGTCAAGAAGCTCATCCATGTTTATCTTAGGGATGCCATCATCATCGTCATCCTCGTCATCTTCCTCCACAACACTCATCGCATCTTTATCGACACCATCCATACGCTCAGCATCAGCTTTCGCCTTTTTGGCTTTGTAAAGCGCAAAGGTGCTTCTCAACTCCTTATCCTCCTCGACATCCCGCAAGAACATCTCGAAATCTTCCTCCGCACGATCTCTCTCTTGTTTCCGTGATGAGGCGGCAGCCTCCTCTTCCTCGCGGTTCATACGCTTGAGGCGCCAGTTTCTCTTGGGCTTCTTCTTCCTGGGATAGTGCTTCCTCACGAGAATCACGTCGGGGATCGTAGAACTATATGTATGGCTTTGTTCCAAAGCCTCGTAGTTGGCGTCGTTGAAATTTGACCCCGACAACAGATAACCCTTCACAGAATCCCCGACATGAAGGACGCCACCAAGGTGCGTTCTAGTGAAATAAGTAGTGTCGTTCACTCCGAGGTCGGACGCCCGTGCGACGGTGACTTCAGCGAGATGGAAGTGGCCAACTGATCGACCAGCAGGTTCGATATCCATAACAATGAATTCAACAAGTTCTTGGACATCTGCCACGCCTTTGAACGGAGTTCTCCAGTATATTGGGGAAGGGATGTCGGCCGTTTGAAGGGTAGCTGGATCCAACAAACTAATCGAAGTTCCCACACGATAACACAGAGTAAGAGGATGGATGTTACCCAAGGATTTGGCCAGCGATATGGGGAGGGCAACCAGGTCGTCTTTGCAAATAGGTACCAGGTAAACGGAATAGGAGATTTTGTAAGATTTGGTCGACGTGTGAACGTCCATGGAAATGAGCTCTTGCGATTTCTTGACTCGAGTTGGAGCAACAGAAGATAAGAAATCCACCATCTTCTCTGCGTGGTTTCGTTGTGAGAAAAAGAAGTCCAGGCCATCCTTGGCTTCCTTGATGTTAATCGTATCCTTGTGGGCGTTATGTTTTAGAATCAACTGTTCTAGGTACAAGAACGTTCGTTTGTGAGGGACTTTTTGCCGGACTTGCACAGCCGCTCTCCAGGTATTAGGGGTATACGATTTGGCACACTCGGAGCATTGTTGAGACGCCACCACATATTCTACCTCAAAGGTCTGCTGCAGAATGGTCCCTTCGAAGGCCTCTTGCTGAACTGTAATTTTGACCTTAATTCGTTTAGAATGAGGTTCTGTCCATATGAATCCGGCGTCGATAATGCGAACTTTGCCCAAACCACGCAGTTTTCGGAGACATAGCGCAAGTAATTCCCTCGACTCGAGGGTAGCACTTATCCACTGGGAAGGCGGCTGTAGCCAACGTTCGCAGTCCTTACAACAGTGCAGTGTGGCTTCTCGCTGTATTCCTTGTGATATGTCAACTGTAAGCTTCACACAATCTTCACAAAGGGCGCCTGCAGAAGTTGTCCCATCGATAGGAGCACCGCAGTTACAACATAGGATCCTAAATAATTTGTTAGATAATTTCTTTCTCGGTAAGTCAAGACAGGCGGTTGGAAGTGCTCACGTTGCTGTTTGTTGCTGCGGTTTGTATGCAACCTGCTGCATGGGCATCGGGGAATCCAAGTCCATCGACATGATGGCAGATAAAATGGGAAACTGAGATAATTCTAGTATTTCGAGCGAGTGTTGTAAAGTAGAACGGATGTCATCGCAAAATATCAAAAAGCATTTTGCCCCTCTAGAATCTCATAAAGTAGATTATTAATGGGCCTCGTCTCGGATTTACATTTAACCGACATCCTCAACACGGCAACCATTTTTTTTGATTCTTCTTCCTTCTTCCTCTTGCTAACGGACAAGCAGTATTTGCACCTATCGGCCCAATTTGCGGGCAATTGTCATATTCACAATGCGTCGGGCTCTACTAACGGGCATCCAATGCCATGCTTGTCGAAATAATGTCGTTCGTTCGTTTGTTTCCGTTTCTGGTGTGACATTCATGCCTCTAGCAAGTGGTTCATGGTCTGCCTCTCAGACCCGCCCTCCACCTCTCTCACGGAATTTTTCATCTCAGCACGCGAAATTATTTTCGAGCCATCCCTCTGACAATGCTGAAGTGGCTGTTGATCCTATGCCTGAGAAGGACATTACGGAAGAGACGGTGAAGCCACCAGAAGAACCCGAAGAACATATACCCTGGTACCTTCAAGAAGAACTTGAAGCCACAACATCACACCCCCTAAGAAAGCAACAACCGCTGCCTCCTCTTCCGGAGAACCCACCCCCAATATTAAATGGCCTACTTGAACATATATCTATCGACCTTGGCCTCGATGATATTAGCCTGCTTGATCTCCGCAAACTTGATCCTCCTCCCGCTCTGGGAGCAAATCTCATTATGATTTTCGGTACTGCTCGAGGCGTGAAACATCTCAATGTTTCAGCAGATAGATTGTGTCGGTGGCTGCGTACTACCTATAAGTTACGGCCTGATGCCGATGGTCTCCTAGGCAGAAACGAGCTAAAGATTAAGCTCCGAAGAAAGGCTCGTCGTGCAAAGCTAGCCAAGAGCGCCAAATCAACTCTTACGGCGCCCGACGATGGAATCACAACGGGTTGGATATGTGTCGATGTGGGAACCGTTGAAGGCGGTCAATTCCGCAAACCGGAGGAAGAGGCTCGGAAAGTCGGTTTTGTTGGCTTCGGAACGTTTGTGCAGGGGACTCGGATCGTTGTGCAATTGATGACAGAGGAGAAAAGGGAAGAAGTTGACCTAGAGGGTCTTTGGCGTCGGACGCTGGAACGAAACTCCTTGGAGAATGAAGGCCTCCCGCAACCGCAGGCGGAAGAGCCTCCACAAGAGGCGGGTGATATCCATAAACCTTCATCTGTTACACCAGCTCACATCAGTCATCGAGTTAGCCACGCGGCCCAAATTTCGGTCAACTATGAACAACGAAGGGGTATATCTACTGGGTCTTGTCAGTACCGAGACCTCGAAGAGGACGGGTTGAATTACGCGCCGATCAACCCAGACGGAACAATTAAACTTCCGGAACTGATTTCTGAATCAACTCCCCTAACATCGCTGACTTCCCGGTTAAGAAATATTTCTCCATATGAAGCGATCTATCATCTCGGACAAGACGTTAATGACACAAATTCTACGACATTTTTAGAGCAATTTTACCGGAAACTCTCGAAAGCTCCCGATGATCTGGCGTCCGCTCAAAGAATAAAACTTATATGCATTGCAATCATGCTTCATCATCCCGGTTATGGCAAAACCGACCTCTTCAAGGTGACCCAAGAGCATTTCATCTCAAACTACGGTGTAACGCCCCCCCAATTCCTGGAGATTTTGGATGCGTTGCTCTCATTCAAACCCGATCTGACCTCGGATCCTCCCAATCTGCTTCTTCCAGCCGCTGATATGGAATTGGCATTACAAACCATAGATCATGTGGGACTCCGAGGTATCGACCTCCTTAACTCGACTGTTTGGATGAAACTTTTTGTCGGCGCCTCATTTCGCGTGCCGGTCTGCCCAGTAAGGGATCTTATGAATGCCCCGGTTATCGGCAACCGTACTCCGGTTTCCCTTGATACGTACGAGACAGTAAATCGCGTCCAGACGCGTCTACTCAAAGTCAAAACAGCCGCCAAAATAGAACTGAGCGCAAACGAGTATCTGAGCCTGCTTCGTGTGCTCTTCGACCACGAATGGTACTCAATGTTCTGGGATACATGGGAAGAAATAGCGCTGGCTGGGATGCCTCGAGACAAATCGCTTTACGTGTTTCTTTTCCAGCTCCACGCCGAATCGGATGGCTGGGAAGGTTGGAAGTCGACCCTTCTGAACTGTATTCCAATGATGGAAAGAGAAAATCCCCCAGTATATATGGACCGTGAGCTAGCAGAGGTTATAGCAAGATGCCTTGCTATAGCACATCCAGAGATAATGGATAGAGTTGAGCGAAACGAGCCGAGTCCCTTGGTCCGGCTGTGGCACCGCTGTCGAATCACGATTGAAAAGGAGGTTCCTTTGAGAGGGGCACAAAATCCCCCTTCCACCATGTCTTGACGATCCCTCAATATTCTAGTTTATATACCCCTAATAAATTTCCTGGACAATACAATGAGATCCGCATGTATATAGCATAGAGCTCGAAATTCAATGGAAAAACGAAAATTAGACGAATAAATAAATCAATGATGAGCTACGAGACTGAAATCTGATGAGTCAGCATTTCTCATCGCTACCTACCTCGGCTGTTTATTGACCAAAAGCCGCCATCCCCAACTTTCCAGGAGAACATCAGCGGCGACAAGCCGGCAGACCGTCTCCTCAGGCCTAGCCTGTGTTAAGAACTTCCCATCTCTCCCTGCAATACAGAGAGGCAGTCAAGAACATCAATTCGCTAGCATGGAGTATATGTCCGCTCTACAGAACGAGTTCGACGATTTCAAGCCTTCGCTCTTCGGTAAGCTCATCTCCGTTTTCTCCCATACGCCTCGTTTCTATGTGCTGAAATACCAACTCGACGCCGTCTCCTGAGCTCGTTCATTCATTAATTCCATGCTAACCAAAATCCCCAGAAATCCTCTCAGAGCAGCAGCTCTCAGCCCTTCTACCCCCGTCTCTCCGCTACGTCCTCGCCGTCGCCACGCACCGACACCCCCGCTACCTTCTCCGTGCCCTCAACTCATACGACGAACTATACGCCCTCCTCTCCCTCCTCGTAGAACGCTACTACCTTCGCACCTTCGGCGGCTCTTTTACCGAGAACTTCTACTCTCTAAAACGCGAACGCGTCCTCGCGACCAAAAATGGCGAGGTTCCACGCGCCCAGCTCGGCGCGGCGGGGCCCGTCCGCGAAACGCTTAAGCTCCGCTCGTCAGACATATGGAAGAATCTGGCTGTGATGGTCGGGATACCTTATTTGAAACGGAAACTGGATGAAGGATATGATATCCACGCCGCTCCGCATGCTGCGCTGGCGGCCAGCGGAGGAGGAGGGCCACGATATCATCCGGACGACGACCTCCCGCACAACCCCACCGTGCGCCAGCGGCTAATGCACTATTACAAATGGTTCCTGCGGAATGTCTACCCGTCGCTGAACGCGGCGTACTATTTTGCCATTCTAGCTTTTAATCTTGCCTATTTGTTCGATAACACAAAGTACTCCTCGCCTTTCCTATGGCTGATAGGCACACGGATACGAAGGCTGGGACCTGCCGACCACGCTGCAATAGAGCTAGCTACGCAACCTCCAAAGGCGAAGACGAAAACTCCGGGCACCCGGCCCAGCGGTGCATTGGGCTTCCTCCGCCCGGAGAATATATACCCGCATCTTCTAGGGTCACTGAAGATCTTCCTTCCAACCTCCATATTCGCGCTAAAGTTTCTAGAGTGGTGGCACGCGAGCGATTTCTCGCGCCAACTCGCTCGCAAAGCGACAGAGGCACTTGACCTACCCGCCCCGGTTGTCTCGGGCATGTTATCGCCTACAGCAGCGACCGCGGCTGCAACAGCGTCTGCTACGGCGAAGAAGGCAACCACATCCACAACTACCAGCAAATCGTCCGACAAGCCTTCGAGCTCACAAACACATATCCCCAAACGTCCCAATCCGCCCCCCATCTCCTCAACATCATACCTCCCCATCTTCACCGTACCTTTACCAGCCGTCGACCCGGCCGCTGCTGATGCGAACCCTGCTTCTGCCTCCACTCAATCCCCCTGCCCAATCTGTCTCAACCCTCTTAATAACCCTACAGCCTGCCAGACAGGGTACGTCTTCTGCTACAGCTGCATCTTCCGCTGGATAAACGGAGAGCATGAGCGGCAGATTGACTTTATGAATGGGAAAGGTTCGGAGTGGGAAGATGATGGTGATGGTCATGGTCATGGGAGAGAGAATACGGTACAAACGGTGACTGGAGAGATGAGCGGTACGGATGGGGAAGGCGGGAAAGGGAATGATCTTGACAATAAGAGTAGTCGGGTTGGGAGATGGGAGAGCGGGGAGGGGCGGTGTGCGGTTACTGGGCGCAGGGTATTGGGTGGTTCGGAGGGGCTGAGGAGGGTGCTTGTTTGATGGATTTTTTTTATCTTTTTTCGTACTGGTTTTGTCAAGGTTGGTTGGGTAGGATGGGATGGACATGATTTATATATAGATACTCAAATTCAGTTTAGAGATATGTATCATAGATGTATGTAGATAGCATTTCCTCATCAAGATAACTAACTACATTAGAATATCACCATAATACTACATCATTTAATAATAATCTAGCTCAGCATAAGAACCCCAAGGAATATTTGCAATCGGGTAGAGATGTCTGTCCAAAGCTCTCGTTCATATTGCACCATGCTCTCACCTTTACCTCGTCTAAATTTTGAAGCTAATCTTATCATATTCCAGCTAATAATAGATAGTTATATTGCATGGTTATCTTTTGTCATCTACGGAGTATATGTAAAGAAAAAAGATTGGAAAATATCCCACCAATTCCTCAACTGATCATCCACACCCGGGAAGGTAGGGTAAACCGAGAAGTGAGAGAAAAAAAAAAAAAAGAAAAAGAAAAAGAAAAAAAGAAAAGGAAAAAGCCAACCCGCATGAATATCTAACACGGACAAAGCCAATGCCAATAGGAATATCTAGTTATGAGACATATAGACATAGAAAACGAGACATATGTGCAGCTTATGCCTATGTAGGTAGATAGGCTGAGGATGGGAGTATATATGCAACAACGGAAAAAATGCAAAATATATCATGCCATGCCAGTGAGGAATGAGAAAACAAAAAACCAGAGAAAGACAGAGATATATCTCGCTCAATGCAGCAAAAAAGGAAACCAATCAAAACATAAACACGTAAAACAGACCAACATCCCCCCTTCCTTCCCCCTCCTTCCTAAATCCCCAACCACCACTTCGACCTCTCATAAACAAAGAAGCTCACCGCAACCATAGGCACAACCTTCATATACCCAATCGTCAACCCAACCCAAAACCCGCGAAACCCCTTCTCCGCAAAAATCCGCTTCCCCGTCTCCGCAATCCCCACCCGATGCCCATCGCCCACCGCACCAGCAACCTGCATGCGGCGCCGGATGACTTCAAGTGGGTACGAGCTCGTCTGTGACACGAGGCCTGCTAATGCGCCTGATAGCAGCTCGGCCGGGGCCGTTAGTTGCACACGCTTGTAGGGCTGTGGGGCGGAGGCGGGGGAGGAGGCGGGTGGTTTGTCGGAGTGCGGGATTGTGGTGTAGGCCGCGAGCTTTGGATGGCGGAGCCAGTCGCCGACGGTGTCGTGGGTCAAGAAGGAAACGCCGGCGTAGGGGAGCATACCGAGGAGGGTTGGAGAGAAGCCGCGGTAGAAGTTTGAGAGGCCGTAGCGGGGGGGCTTGGATGGGAGACAGGACGTGGGAGGTGTGAGGGGTTTTGATGAGGTAGATGTAGATGCAGCGGTAGCGGTAGCGGATACCGTCCCAGGTCTATTCTCATTATAAATCTGACGACAAATCCTCCGCAGCGACGAGCGGACATTATGCTTCGTCTCAAACGCCAAGCGCACCCGCATCACCTCCAGAGGGTATGTAAAGAACACGGACGTCAGCCCAGCAGTGCTGCCACTAATCAATCGGCGGAACGGCGTCTCTCTGTCCCGTGACGGGATTACCACGGCGCGGATCTGCTCGTAGGCCAGGAACTTGATAGCGGCGTAAGGGAAAATGCGAAGTAAGGTTGCCGAATGGCCCTTGAAAAGCCCCCGGACGCCTTCGTGGCTGTTTATGTCTTTCATGGCACTCACGACACCGAACCAGCCAGTGGAGTATTTTGCGAATTGAGGGTTGGAGGTTTGGAAGAGAATCTTGACACGGTCCAGAGGGCCGACGACCGTTTTCGCCTGTATAGGTTTTACATATGTGATTAGTTATCTTTTCCTCTTTTACGGACGAAAGCACCAGTGACATCTAGGGGACAAAAAAAAAATTGAAAATAAACATAAACATAAACATAAACATAACCAGCAAAACATACCGCACAACCCGCCAAACCTCCCGCCAACCCGCTTTTAAGTATATAATCCAAACTCCTCTTATCAAGCGCCTTAACATCCGCATTGGCGGCGACATGCGCACGCGCATCCGCCCCCTCTCCCTGCCTCCCCTCCCCCACCCTAGCATCCAAGGGCTCTATATTCTCATGGTCGGTAGGACAAACGCTCGCAGGCGGAAGAGTCGACGCATTTTCCTTCACCTTCACCATCTCCATCCTTAGGTCCATCGGGGATCCGGATTCCGTACCGGTGATACCTACTCGACCAGCGCCGTGTAGCGGGGGAGCTGAATCGCCGGCGGAGATATTGTAAAAGTGCGACGTAGCTGTTGTTATTGGTGTCGTCGCAGGGGAGAGTTTCGGAGGCGAGGAGGAGGACGAAGGAGCATGCGCTTGGGTATGTGTAGTATGTGTGTGTGTCTGCGAAGTAGGATGCGATTGCTGCATCGGCGTCTGTATTCTATCCTACCGCGTTACCTTTCTCGCGAGGTGCGTCCTCAATTCCCGAACCTCGGGTAACCTCCGTGATCCTGCTGACCAGGAAGCAGAAATGAAATGAAAGAAACAGAAAAATTTTAGTATTCTCAACCTTTTTCCCAAAAAAGGAATAACACTACTCCGTCCTATTTGTTACCTGGATTATCAGAGCATCGCTTCCTCGAGGCGTAATACAGACGGAAGAAACGGAATGCTTATGGTGGCAGTCTTGTGGTGGGATATGGCTATCGTCTGTGCCGCCGGCATTTCTTCCTTAGCTCCGTGCCAACCACAGGGAGACAACACAGGGTGAAAATGTGCGATGTAGCTTTGCTTTCTTTCTTGCTTAAGGGTTCTTCGGTACCGCGAGCAATTAATCAATGCATCGTGTGGAGAGCGGAGTTGTTTAAACACTTTGGTCTTTGGTGGTTTGGTGGAGTGTGGTTTGGAAGAAAACAAGGCGTGGGGAAGGGGAGGGAAAGTAGCTCCCGTCCACCGTACCGTACCGTAATTACCCTGCCCGCCCTTGATCGTCCCTTGCTTGCATCGGCCAAATGAGAAGAGATACGAACACAATACAGCGAAACACGCCAACAAATACACGAAAGGGGAAAGAACGTCGGCTGGCATCGGCAAACTAGGCTGTTTCGGGCAACGCTCCGCGTGAAATTTCGCCCCCACCCGGGGTTTTGGTATTGGCCCTGTATTATTTGCCGCTCGGTTAAGGTCACGTGATTGTTGTGGCATTACCATTTTTGTTGGAATGTCTGAGTGGTTGTTATTGGTTGCTATCTAGTGTGGGCTATATGCTTGGTGCGGGGCGCTAGTCCGTACTGGGAAACCTAGGGCTCCCACAATTTTGATACTTTTCCCCCATCGCGTCCCTCCCAGGACGAAAGCCCTTGTCCCTTTCATACCCTTAAGAGAAGAAAAATTAGAGGTTAAGAATAATAAAAATAAAAGTATCCCGCCGACCAAAAACCTGAATGTAATAAATACACTTCCCCCCCCCCCCCCCCCCGGGTCTCCGCCCAAAACTATATAAATGCCAGCAATAATAACAATAGTAGCCAAGTTATATATCAAAAAAATGTGTGGAAGGTTTAAGGGATGGAAACGCCTAGTCTATGCAATGAAGCGCCCTAGCTAACAGAAAAGCCATGCCAGAAATTGTCTTGAGAAAAATATAATAATAGAAATCATAGATATAAAAACCTCAAGGAAAGAAAAAAAAATTGCGCGGGCCGGGTGATTAAGATGAGAGCCAGAACTGTGCTGTCCTTGGCTAAAATTATACGCCGGGTTGTACACACAAGATTCGGATGAGGAGGGTCTACGGGTTGTCGGGAGGCAGGCACACGGTTTGCCCTTGGTCGTCACTGTGGAAGGGCGTGACTGCAACGGGAGTGACAGAAGTGGTGGTATCTGCTCAAAACTGATACTTCGTCCCCTGCCTCGTAAGCGGCTTTCCTTGTCGATTCGTAGCCTTCCCCTCCTTCTCCTTTTCCCTCGTATCATCCGAAGCTGCAGCTGTAGCCGTGGACCGCTTAGCTTTCTTCGTCGGCCGCGCCGGCTCGACATGCAAGTGTCCGTTTTCCCGCAGTGCAGTCCCGTTCTTCCATCTCAGACAGCGGTATCGGCTCGATAGGTCCTCTCCCCCAGAGGGCTTCGTCCGGGTAGACATTCGTGTCGGCATCGCTGGCGCCTCTTCCTCCGGCTCTGTGCTTTTCTTCTCATCAGCATTCTTGCCAACGTACTCCGCTCGATTTCGCATGTACTTGGCGATGCTATCACGATACAACTGCAGTTCCTTGCGCAGCTTCACCTCCCGGATACCGCGGGAGTCAAGCCAGCTGATAAGCTGGTCGAGAGACTCTGGATCGTCATAGTAGCCCCATTCCAAAGCGGTGGAAACACCCACCGAACCCTCCTCGAGCTCTTTCCGCTGTCTCACTGTCATTTTGAACCGCTGGATGTACTTTTCATTTTCTTCAGCCGCTAAATCAATAAAGCCCTCCCGTTCCATATCGTCGGGACCTTGAACCCATAGTCGTCCATTCGCATAGTTTGCAGACGCAGTGGAGCTGCTCGGGAGACCTTCAAACGGCATCGCGTTCCGCTCAAACCAATAGTACCGATTCCAAAACCGGTCTTTACCCAAAACACGCGTCCGGGGACAATCCGCCTCTCGCAAATCATTATCCAGCACGGCGATATGTTCCTCGTATGACTTGACTTTGGCTTTTTCGTCTTCGATTTTCTTTAGGACACGCTGATACTGCTTCGATCCCTTGGGTGCCTTGGCGGCCTGTTCCTTTCTCTCACGCTCCTCCTCTTGCCGTCGTTTGCGCTCTGCGGCTCTATCTGCTCCACGCCGAAGCGATCTTCCTCCATGCACGTCTTCCTCATCGGTATCTCCAGCAGCCTCTGAGTTTTCATCCAAACCAGTCATCTTTACATCCGCTAGTTCTTCCAACTCAGGAACTGGTGATGGGGGGTGTTCAGGTTGAAGCTGTTTGCGTTCTTCATGCAACCGTCGAATCTCCTCAAGGCTAGCGAAAACGATTAGCTACCGTCCAGAATGGAGGGAAAAAAAGGGACAAATCCCCAACGCGATAACTTACCATGCTTTACGAGCCCGCTGATAGTCAATTTTCTCTTTGCGGAACTCAGTCATTTGAATGCTGCACTCTTCGAGATAATTCTTGATCGCCTTCGTTTCAAGTAGTAACATGCAGATAATTTGAAGAGCCTTCACTCGTAAATTGACGTCGAGGGTTACATATTGTTCTTGCGAGGTGTCTTGAGTTGGCTCACGGTCAAGCGGCGCCAAATGGGCTAGGATCTCGTCACAGGGTTTTTGTAGTCGCGGTCGGTAGGATAGCCTATGAAGGAGTCCGACCATAACTAATTCCCAACCACCTTTTTGGAAGTCTCGTTTCCGTAGGCGATCGATCCACCCATACTCTCCAAACATTTCCGCCGCGCGATGTATCTGTACTTCAGCCGTGCCAGACCGGCTCCTTGATTCCAATCTCCGCTTCAAATTTTCGGCTTCAGCCTTTGCATAACTACTTCTAGTGGTTCTTCTGGGCGGTGTCGGTTCTCGGTCCGGCTCTTCAATTTCTTCCTCTTCTTCATCGTCCTCTTCGTCCTCGGATTCTTCGTCGGGAAGGGCGGGTAGCGAGATCTGAACAGCGCCATCCTGATCTTTCTCATCGTTCACCAGTGTTTTCAACACCGCACAGTGTACTTCCACAAACAGCTCACAGGTAACGTCGTGAGAAGAAAACTGCATTGCTTCGACGAAATCATCGAATGTGAAGGAGTCTAATTGGAGAACCTGGCAATATACATTCAGCGTGTTCCAGGTTTCGAGAAGAGGTCCCATAGATTCCATTTTTATGTCACCACTGAGTAAACTATCTTCTCGCGACGACTTTTCCAGCAGCTCCGAGCGCTGATCATCAGTTAAGAATTTCACTGGCGGTCGTAGTTTATTGCTGTGAGAAGGTGGAATATCTAAATCCTCGATAGGGTATTTGATAGGGGGCGAAGGGGGAGGCGGCGGCGGGCCATTTTGAATGACGACGGAAAACGAGTTGGCGCTATCTTCGGGTATTTGCCAGACTCTGTCCGGGCCGAAACTGCCTGGAGCAGCAAAGGAAGGGTTCTCGTTCAAGGCTCGTTGGTATTCTAAATATTGATCTTCCCTTGCCTTCGCAAGTTCCCGGACGTTGGTTTTGGACTTTTGCCCCTTGGCAGCAGGTTTTAGGTTCGGCCATCTTTGTTTGGAATAAAAGAACCTGAAGAGGTTTTCGTCTTCTTCTTTATCGACAGCCACGTTGGCTTTTTTCCCTGCAACCCTATTTACATATTGAAGGTGTTTCGGGACCTCCGTATCAATCCTATATTCCTTGGCGATCTCGGGTTTGACTAGCCATGGCGCACCGGTCCACGACTCCCTAGTGACAGTATTTCTGATGAACGAACGCAGCATCTGTTTGGTAAAGATTTTCCGGTCTCGGATCAGGTGTTCATCGTCCAGCAATGCCTCCTCATTCGGTCGGTTTACCAATTTTACTAGATACCTTGACGATGCCCTTCGCTCTACCGTACCATCTTCGTTGATTAATTCTGGGAATCGGGCTTTCTCCCGAACAATGCCCTGCAGGCGGGATCCGTTGGTCAGGAGGACAGTAACGCGTTCGCCAGGGTAAAAATCTTGTTTAAAGTCCTTCAATTTCGTTAGTCATAATACGAATCCTTGGTTGGAGATCGGAAGGAGCATACTTCGAAAACTTGGTCGACTATTAAGAACAATTGAGATCAGCTTCAGGCCCGGGTTGTAAAACAGCGCAAAAAAAGACGACTTACCAAGGCTGTCAATTCGCGAAATAGTTGAAAATTGAACTTTTCGCAAAACCGGTTCCTTCAACGGTTCCGGAAAGGCGCTATTCACTTCGCGCGAACCATCCGTCTGTTGCGCAGTTAGTACAGGAAGTACTTAATATCTCAAACGCAATTGAAGGAAAAGCAAGAAAAGCTGATATGCGACGTACTTCACTTCTTAGAGCCTCAAAAAAAGTAAGAGAGGAGTGACCCGTTATCTCGCAGATGAATCGTTTCTATATCCAATATCGACTTGTTAAGCACATCCATTCTCGTCGACGCGTTCGGACATGACTGATCAAGGTAAAAGTTCTCCGGGCGGCGGACGAAACGCAAGCGCGGACCCTTGTTGATGTCGAGTTCGAGAGGGGGGGAGTTCATGGGTACATACCTGTTTGTAGAAGTTCATTCTGAATAGGGACCATATAATCAGCGATTTGCGCCGCGCATATAAAAGTAACAAGGGAGGAGAGGAGGAGGAAAATAGAGTTTTGAAAAGTGTGTGAACGCACCTATGAAGAAATTGCTGATACTTGGTGAACACTTCATTTGTTTCCGGGATAACCCAGACCTGTATTCCGCACAAGCACGAAAAGCACGGTACAAGTTAGATGATTGTCCGCTGAAAGAATAAATCCGCGAATGAGGGCAGTAGGCACATACCTCCTCGCTATCATCTTCAATGGTTGGTCGAGGGAGGTATTGGACGGGTTTGCGCTTGAATAGGACCTGATGGAGAGACAGAGGAGAGTTTTCCGTTAATATATATCTCTCCGCACGATTGAGTAAATTTTCCGCTGGTCGGAAACCAGCTGCAAGCGCGATAACAGTCCACATACCATATTGTTTGACTATAACAACGAAAGAGCTATACTTGGCCAGTCGGGCCCGTTAACGAGAAAACGCAATAGGAACCCGAATAAATTGTCCAAGCAGTCCCCCTGTCTGTCAAGCCCGACTAGCTCGGGTAAGAATATCCGGCTACGACTGAGAGGAAGGACCGAAAAATGTCTGTGGAGGCTTCGAGCTGTTATTATTGTTAGTATTTTTTTTTTCTTCGCTCCGCAAATACGCCAAGAAAATATAAATATTTCATCTATTCAGGATGAGGGAAGGAGAATCAATTGTAGGAAGGGATTTTAAATACGCGTCCGGCGGGCGATATTTTCTGGTGGCCATGGGGGGCCTAGGGAGGCAGGCATACCTGTGGAGATGGGAACGCGTCTAGAACCCGATCATCGGGTATAAAACACGGAGGAGGGTGTTGCTGCAGCTGATAGTGGTGGTAGAGGAATGAAGGACAGAGATAGAGGCTGAGTTGGTTGCGGTGGTTGAGGGTGCAGTTGAGGTCGGGATAAGAAGACGGGGGTGGTTGAGGTGGAGGCGGGAAGAAAAGAGGAGGAAGAAGAAAAGGGAAGAAGTTTCGGCAGGGCATTGGGGGGGGGGGGGGGTTGTG